TTGTAGCAACAGGAAACTCACTAGACAAGAATGAGGTGGGAGTGACAGTCCAGAAAGGCCTGTGGGCTTTCTTCCCAGTGGTGGTGTGAGTACCCTGTGCAGGGGTCCCAAAGAGCAGGGGCTTCAGAGATTTCACAAAACAACTGCTGTCTGGAATGTGGAATGGTTTTGAACTAAAGTCAAACAGAGCTGGGGTTTCATTAGCATTGCAAAAGTGTCTGCCGAGACAGGGACCACAGAGAGCCAGTTGTCACTCAGCTCCAGGACTCAGGACTCACAGCAATAGGTATGGGAGAATGTCTCATTAACAGCAGAGTGCCGGGGGAAGCGACTGTCCTCGGAAGCACGACAACAGTGCTCAAGTCTCGGCTCTTACTCATAAGCTGGGAGACTCTGCACAAGGTGCTTAAGCTCTCCGCACTTCACCCTCTCTAGGTGTGAAAGGGGGATCAAGCGTGGAGAGTCACAGATGCCTTCTGGTGTTTCTGAACACTTAGAACGGTGCCTGGCACCTAACACAGATTACAATTGTTCCTTCTAGGTGTGGTCATCTTTTGCCCCCTCCCCAAATCAGTTGATTTCGCACAACCAGAACTTTTCCTTTGTGTATTTTCCTCTGTGTTTTTAACTTTAAAAAGGTGATCTATAGCTTTTTCTAAGCACTGCAGCTTTTTATCCTTTACGCTTCTGTGGGACACATTGAAGACTATAGAGCCATCCCCTTTCCCTGGGTCCTATCGTGTGCCAAATGACCTAGAGAATGGCTAGGTCGCCATTAGCTTCATTAGCTAATTGGGGTTCTACTTTTAGAACTTATTTGGGCCAAGGGGCTTCTTCTTGGGCAGACCTAGAGTTGGAACTAAGAGTGTCCTCACTCGGGTGAGCTTTTCTCTTTAGTAGAAGAGATGTAAAGTGGAAATTTCCACAGGAGGTTAAACTACACAGACACAAAAACTAATGCTGCAGACAGTCTTCTGGATACCCCACAACAGTCCAACCTTGGGCTCTTGCTCCCTCTAGGTTTGGTGTCTGGATCTTCCCTGGATCCGGGGGATTCATAAAAGAAACCTCCCTATGCTTGTGCCACCTGTGTTTGCTACCTGAAGCTTAGTGCTGCCTGATGCAGCTACTTCCAATAGTCCAGAGAAGAGGATGGGCACACTGGAGCTGGCAAGGTCTCCTGAGGGATAAGATGGGAAGGGGTAAGATGGCTAGCCTGTACCTCGTCATCTTCCACAACAAGGGCTCTTTCTGGCTTCTCACTGTCTTCAAACACTGGTTGCCAGACTGTTTCATCCAATTCCAGGTCTGAAATAATTTCTGCAATTCTAACATTCTTTTCTTTTACACGCGCAATTTCGATCTCTTTTTGCTTATAGGCAGCATCAAATTCACTATTGAAAGTCTTTTTTATATTGTAAATGATATCCTGAAATAGCAAAAGGTTATTGAAAATACATCGTATCTTATGGTTTTATTTTGATAACATATTTCCATATACCTCTAAGATCATTCCAGAAATTATCATTTAGGAAGGTCAAACTCATCTTCCCAGACTGGTGTTTACAGTGAGTCATTTCTAGGTTTAAAAATCTATGGTGGTTTGTGGTCAGGTTTGAATTAAGGCAGCAGCAAGATTTACACCTCAATGGTCTCCTTCCTAAGATGTGAGCTGTAGTTCCATATACAGGTCTGCTGGCAAGGACTGATGGGTACTCAAAGCTCATTGGACAATTCTCTCTACTTTTTTTTGTTTTGTTTTGTTTTTTTGAGACACGGTTTCTCTGTGTAGTTCTGGGTGTCCTGGAACTCACTCTGTAGACCAGGCTGGCCTCGAACTCAGAAATCCGCCTGCCTCTGCCTCCCAAGTGCTGGGATTAAAGGCGTGCGCCACCACTGCCCGGCTTTTTGCATGTCTTTAAAAATCTACCATAAAATATTTATAAAGCAATGTACAAGATTCAACACTTCTTTCTTGGAAACTTGATAGAGGAGATGTGGATGCAGGAAGCAATGGTGTTTAGAGAGCCTTGCAGAGAAGGACCACTGGGCCCACCTACTTCTTTATAGAGTTAGGTCATTCTCAATTAGAAGAGGAAACAAGTTAACTGACTAGGTCAGCCAATAGCTATGGCGGCAGAAGGATCAAGTAGATTGCCCCAACTCAACTCAGGGGCTAAAGGTTCAACTCAAAAGTGGCTACTCTGACTCAAATTCTTGTTTATATTACAACCATGGTTCAGTCTGTCAGTTTCTCCCATTAAAGAAGAAACCATTGAAGTTGTCTGGAAATGATTTAACATCTAGCAGCAGAAGGTATTTTGGGCTCAAATGGCTTCCGTATAGATACATAGTAAAGGAAGAGGGTCAGAGGCTGATCAAAGGTGACAGACAAAACAGCTCTGTGTGTAAATAAACAGAAGTGCCAAGGTATGGAGGAGGAGAAGGAGGAGGAGGAGGAGGAGGGGGAGGGGGAGGAGGAGGAAGGGACTGGAAGCTTATGCATAAATTTCTGGTTTCTTTGGAGACTTGGTTGTGTCATGTGATATTTTTCTGGAAGCTGTCTTATGAGGATGTTTTGCTGAGAACAGACAGGTGGTGTTTTTCTGAAAGTTGATTGGAAAAAGGGCATGTGATGTTTTTCTGGAGCATACGCTTGAGAGGACATGTGATGTTTGAAAGGGGTATTAATATAACCCAACAGAGAGTGGACAGTGCTGTGGCATGGGTTCGCCTTGCGTTCTTTGCTGATCACTATTGTGATTTCATAGAGAAAAATGCACCAAAGAACTGATGATGATATTCTGGCAGCTTCTGGCTGCTTCAGCGGCCTCAGGCTGATTGGCAGAGCCTCATTGTTCCTTCAGGATCTATCGGCCATTGTTGATTCATTAGTGGTGTTTGTGAGTGGATCCAGCTACTGCTGCTAATTCATGTGAACTAAACTGCTGATATCCTAACAACAAAAATTAGAATTGCCCCAAAGAACTATTTCTAAACAGGTCTACGTCTCCCTCTGCCATATTAAGCTTTTCTTTCCACTACCTCCGGTGGGTGGTGGTCTAGAAGGGGTTAAAACCTTTAAGAGCCCTTATTAAAGTAAGTTTTGAAAAATCGAAGCCTACAGGAAGCAAGCGCTGAGCAACATGGAAAGACGAGCAGTAACTGAAGTCTGAAGACTGACGGAAGTGAAGACAGGGCGGAAGTGAAGACAGGGCAGAAGTGAAGACAGGGCAGAGGGACCTGTGAGCACGGGAGTATCTAAAGGAATTTCAAACTACCTACTATCTTAGCTGTTGATTTAAAAAATATTCAAGAGCCTTCTCCATTTCAAGTATGTTCTGAGACTGACTTGTTTTGGCAGAAATCAAGGAGTGGTATTTTATGGCCAGGGGGACCTCATACCTCATTTTGAGGCTATTGTATTTCTCTGAGTTAAGCAGACAGATGAGCAATCACTTTCTGACCTTACAGATCCTGAGTGATATCAAATGAACAGATCTTTAGTTAAAGCACTTCTTTGAACTAACTAAAGTTCTATCCCAAATGACCATTGTATCAATCAGGGAAAACATTTGCTAGAAAACTTGGTATCATCATGCTCAGTTTGAATGAGCTGGAGTAACTTTTGCACACAAGCTCTGTCTACAAGAGATAGAGATATAACTTGGTTATTGCTAGGGTGTTTGTTTGTTTGTTTGTTTGTTTCTTGGTTGGTTGTTTTTTTTCAAGATAGGATTTCTCTATGTAACAGAGCCCTGGCTGTCACGGTACTTGTTCTGTAGACCAGACTGGCCACCAGTTCACAGAGATCTGTCTGTCCCTGCCTCCCAAGTGCTGGAATTAAAGGTGTATGCCACCATACAGGGTAGTTATTGCTAGGTTTTAATGTGAGCCTTTGGAAGGCACTTTGTGGGGAATGTCATAAACTTTTTGTTTTTAAAATAAAAATGGAAATTCACTCACTTTAAGCAATATAATTTGGTTGATTTTCTCTTCTCTGGAATGAAGTTGCAATTGGCTTGTCAGCAAAGATGTGTCTGCCCCAAAATCAGTGCTCAAACTACCAAGCAGGTAATTGGGCAGACTGGTTGTTTTTGCTACTTTTTCTTCATCCTCCTCTTCTTCTTCCTCCTCTTCATGATGCTTTTTAACCATAGTGGCTGCTGTAGACTGGACCTCTACAATTTCCTTCCGGAGCTTAAATATAGGGAAAAAGATGACACAGAGGTTATGCAATTAGAATTCCACCAGGGACAATTTTCAGGCGATTTAATTGTTTCAGCAATCATTTTAAGAGGTCAAATTATCGGGCTGGAGAGATGGCTCAGTGGTTAAGAGCACCGACTGCTCTTCCAGAGGTCCTGAGTTCAATTCCCAGCAACCACATGGTGGCTCACAACCATCTGTAATGGGATCTGATGCCCTCTTCTGGTGTGTCTGATCACAGCAACTGTGTACTCACATTCATAAAATAAATAAATCTTTAAAAAAAAAAAAAAGAGGTCAAATTATCTTGCCAGCAGTTCAGCTCAGTGTGGTGGATGCTGAAATGGCTGCAGGAGAGATTAAAGTTCAGAAACTTACTCATTGCAAATCAAAAGAATAAAAATGACTATTGCTAGTACGCATTATTTACGTTTTTGTACCAGAATGATCCCTGCTTGTAAATATTCTGAATCTCTCATGGTACTTAAGCATGAGAAAATATTTTCTCCCCATATTTTATCAGGGAACTTGTTCATATGGGATTAGAGAATGTAATTTAAGTATGCCTTCGTTTTATGTTTCAGAAAAAGAGGGGTGCGAAGTTCTGGCCATCACTAAGTTATGACAATTGTTTTTTATTGCTTTGTCAGAGACTGTTGTTTAAAAATCATAGTCTGGATTGCATTAAGAAAACCATAAATTCCATCAACATAGAATCAGTTTGATTTTTGGTCAATGACCATAAAACATGGTCCTTAATGTGGGAGAGGACAAAGAAGGGCTTTGCAGACCAAGACAGCCTTCGAGCAGAACGTGAACAGCACCCCATCTCCCTTTTAAAAAGCATATTCTCACACTTGAAGACTAATCAACATATAAGATATAGACTCCATTTTTTTATTATTTGGATATAATATATAATTATGAGGTGTCTTAGTTAGGATTTTACTGCTGTGAACAGACACTGCGACCAAGAACAATATTTAATTGGGTCTGACTTATAGGTTTAGAGATTCATTTCCTTATCATCAAGTTGGGAACATGGAAGTGTCCAGGCAGGCATGGTGCAGGAGGAGCTGAGAGTTCTACATCTTCATCTGAAGGCTGCTAGTGGAAGACTGACTTCCAGGCAGCTAGGATGAGGGTATTAAAGACTATGCCCACAGTGACACACCTACTCCAACAAGGGCACACCTATTCCAACAAGGGCACACCTCCTAATAGTGCCACACCCTGGGCTAAGCATATACAAACCATCACATGAGGATATAGTATATAAATTAGCCAGAAATATAAATGTATATTATATGCAAATTTAATATTAAATTCTATTTCAGCAGAAATCCACATGTTGGGTACTGTCCTAGTTAGGATTTCTCGTGCTGTGGTGAAACACCATGGTCAAAGCAACTTGGGGAGGAAAGGGTTTGTTTGGTTTACACTTCCACATCACTGTTCATCATTGAAGGAAGCCAGAAAGGAACTTACACAGGAACCTGGAGGCAGAAGCTCATGCAGAGGCCATGGAGGGGTTCTGCTTCCTGGCTTGCTCCATCTTTCTAAGCCTGCTTTCTTACAGAACTCTAGGCTACCAGCCCAGAGATAGCACCACCCACAATGAGCTCGGCCTTCCCTTATCCATCACTAATTTTAAAAAATGTCTTACAGCTGGATCTTATGAAAACATTTTCTCAATTGAGGTTCCTTTCTTTCTGATGGCTCTAGTTTGAGTCAAGTTGACATAGAACTAGCTAGTATAGGGACCCTTAATAAATTACATCATACACATAAGTGTGCCGGTGCACACACACACACACACACACACACACACACACACACACTTACAGTAGTACCTTAAGACACTCTATCTCAATCTTCTTTTGCTGCATAACTTTACTCAACTCCTTCAGCTCTTCTTCCGTGCGCTCTTTCATGGGGAAGTTGTCAACCACATAGGGTATATGGAAACACTCGGGTGGAAGTCAAGAGGAAGTAAGTTAATTTTCTTCTGTACTTGTGGCAATTTGAGGGAACAGGAAGGATGTTTCCTCTCACCAAAATTAACCCAAGGATGATTATGCAAAGAGTGAAATTGACACCTTTGAAGTAAAGTGATACAATGCTGTTCTTACGGTCTTAACCGTTGCCTAAAACAGCATGTTGCTGTGAAGGGTTCTTTGTAGGGCAATGATTGTCAAGAACGGTTCCTGACCTCTTCTGTTTCTACTACAATGGTATGGAGATGTTAACAGACAGAGGCCAAGGACGTTGCAAAGCATCCATCAGTACACAGGACAGCCCTGACAACATAGAGTCGCCTGCCTCCACACATACCACGCTTGCTACCCAAGCACATAAAGTACAGTGGGTGTGAACTTCATCATCCAAGTGTGGATAGGTAGGGAGAGGCACATTTGAGTGAGAGAAAGGTGCTATTATTAGCTATTGAAGGACATAAGCATAAACTTTGATGGTTGATTGCCCTGTGTGGAACCTATATGAAGAGGTAAAAGAACGGTGATTTAAAACACATGAAGGTAAGTGGGGGTACAAATGTGAAGAGTGTTTTTTGTCTACCTTTTATCTCTGTGGAACATGAGTAAGAGCCTTTTAGGGCAGAAGGTCCTGAGAGAAGGATGCAGGGGTGTCACAGAGGACAGAGGAAAGTGTGCTAAGAACAACCTGGAAATGTAGTGGCTTCAAAGCACATGAGGCAGAACAGAGGGAAGAATGAACTAAAGGAAGGGGACACACCTGGTGGAAGGGGACACACCTAGTGGAAGGGGACACACCTGGTGGAAAGTCATACATCTGGTGGACCTCAGTGGAGGGAGTAGCAAGGTTCTGTTCTGAGTAGATTTTCTTTACTTTTAAAAAAGTTATGTGACCAAGGTTTCTCTGAACACCCTCATCAGCCAGGGTGCTGTGCCCGGGGCTGTGTGTCTCTTACCTTTAGAGCACGCCCCTTCACAGCCATGGAGTTCCAGCACTCCTCCTTGATGAGTTCAGTTAAGTAGCTCTTGGCTAGGTTGTGCAACTCCACATCTTTTCTTATCTTGGAGAAAGGAAAAAGATAAAAGTGAAAATATGACCACATAAGGAAACACCACCATGATCAGCCCCTGATTAGCCAGGGCTGTTCCACACAATGAGAGTGCTTTTACAGGATTCTCCTGCACTTTGAGCTGCCCTACACTGTGCTGAACTTGTGGATAACACAGCCCTATTTTGCCAATGCTCCCTAAGGCTGTGTCAAGACTTAAAATTCTCTGCCTTGAAGACTGCTGTGTCAACACAAATGCCTGTAAAGGTGGCCAGATCACATCCATGAGCAAAAGGGGCTGTGTGGACAGACTCCACCTCCCAGGGGCAAGGGATACAGGATGGCTGGTCTAGATAGACCTGGGTCAAGTCAAGAGCCATGTCTTCCTGGGCTCTCTCTCTCTCCTCTCTCTTCCCCACCCGCCCTGTGTGTGTGTGTGTGTGTGTGTGTGTGTGTTGTGCACACATGCTAAAAAAAAAAACCTCAAGTGTCACTTCTTGGGATGCTTGCCTTTTAAGACAGCTTTTCACTGTCCTGGGGCTCTCTGAGCAGGCTGGGTTGCTGGTCGCTTGAGTTTCAAGGTTGTTTTGCCTCAGCCTCTCCAGTGCAAGGATTACAGATACAGACAGCTACACCTAGTTTTGTTTTGTTTTTAAGACTTTCAAGCCCCAAGTCTTTCCATTTCATCAAAGACTAAAGTTCGTACTTTTTAGGTGATGTCAACACATTAAAGGGCCAATTTGTGGGTTGTGTCTAGAAATTTTTACTTAATTCCTCTATTATTTATGTTTACAATAAAGAAGAAACACACACATCCAGGGAAGCAGATTATTTACTTTTCAAAAATTTATAAGCATATGTGTAACTTCGCTGGCTTTATCTGCTGATATCCCTTAATAGATAAGCAATTAAGTGTCCCTATTTTAAGAGTCTGCCTGGAAGCATGGTATGAAAGTGACCCGAAACAGTCCTTAGTCTTTAGGATCCTTTCCAGAAACTTCCTTGCATTTCACTTTGTTGGCAGGATTATTTCCAAACTAGCTAAGAATCATCTCTCAGAATAACTTTTTCACATTCCTTTTTAATTTATTTTGTTTTCTGATCAATTTACTTTTTCTTTTTCATTCTGATCCATCAAGTCAAGGGCTAACAGAGTTTTCCTCGGCATGCCAGTTGTCAGCGTCCACTTGAGTTCCAGTCTTTCATCCCTCCATCTCCCCAATGAGACTCTTCCATCAACTCTCTTAGATTCGGTGCCCAGGACAGTGTTCAGATAGTCACGACTGGGCTTCGTGTCTTTCTCTGTTGTGGAACTCCCGTGGCTCAGGGTGACTATAGTCCTAGGCTCTTTAGCACTGAGACCTCTGATTGGGAGGTGCCACATCTCCTCCTAGGGACTCATATTCTACCCCCAAATCTGCTAATAGCTTGCTGGGCTTATGCTGCCAGCTGTTAGTAATTCCCTTCAGGACCACTAAAGCCAGGGCTGGTGTTTCTTCCAAAGATCAGAGCTTTGGGAAAAATACCATGGGAAGAGCCTTTGACAGCATCATGGGTTGGTTTGTTTGTTTGTGTTGTCCTGTCTTTCATGCCATCCTTAGGGGCTTCAGCGAGGCGTTTGCTTACCTTCGCCAGCTCCTCCTCACATTCGTCGTGAAGCCTTTCCAGCTCATCAGCGTCCAGGCAAAACTCCTGCCCATCCAGTTTTGCAATGGCTTCCACCTTTTCATTTTCTTCCATCATTGCTGCAATCTGAATTTTGAAATAAGAAAGGATGATGACAGGCAAAGACTTGACCAATGAAACAGCTGTTGTATTTCTCTAAACACGCTCTGGGATAAAGAACTCAGTCACAGGCTTGTTTGTGGTCGTCGACCTTTAAGGATTGATACTTAGAAATTCATTTATCTAGTGACAAAACCAAGAACAACAAGTTATCACTGTCGGACCGGATTAGTCTCTGGACCTAGATAGTCTCTGGGCAAATGAGTCAGGGATTTTGTGTGTTGAGGTTTGGTCTGTTGCTATGCATTGTTGCTATGCACTGTAAAGCTGAATACTGGCCTCAAGGTCTGGCTGCCTCCAGGGTCTGGCTGCCTCCAAGGATGAGGGAGTCCTCATGTACACCAAGTGATGCCATGTGACCTTGCTCCTCAGTTTAAAACTATTGGTTGAATAAAGATGCCGACAGCCTATAGCTGGGCAGAATTGAGGTAGGTGGGTTTTGGTTTCTGGCCTTGGGGTCTGAAGAAAGACCACAGAGAGGAGAGG